ATATAAATTAGGGTTTTTGTAGCCAATAGAATTAAATTTAATTTATCTCATAAATTAAATATATGATATCACATCTAATTTAAACTTATCTTAAATGCAAATTATAGAACTGATATGATATCTTCTTATATCATGTTAGTTATTAAATTTAATTTATCATATAAAACTAAATTTAAAACTAAATTTAAAACTAACATGATAATATAATATAATATAATATAATATATCAAATATATTATATTATATTATATATGTACACAAATATTTATCAAATAAATATTTAAATAGATACATATATATATATATATACCAAATTTGTTCACCCTAGATAAAGTATTATATTCATTGAATTTAGACACATTCGATTCAATGAACCTTGACATTATAGCTCGAGTTAAGCTGTTCTTATGTGCGACTTGTAGACCCATATGAAGTAGGCAGTTGGCCAATAATGCTACTAGTCCATAAGTCACAAGTGACCTCTAGTAACACATTATGACTACCCAATTCATATAGGGATTGATGATCCAATGTAGTCTATCATATAACCATATCACATTCTTTTTGGTACAATATTTCGATTAAGCGTGAGACATAAAATTGTTATTATCCTTTACCTGACCATTACTTTCACAATCTCTGAGTAAATTGACTATAGTAATGGAAAAACCCTTTCCATTATAGTATGGCCACATATTTTCTCAGCCTTACTCATCAAGGGACCCAGTAATATCTCTCAATTAATGTGAGGGATAAATTTCATCTTGACTACTTATATTCCTCTTCATGAATATTACTAAACTCATTCATAGCTCAATAGTCATCATGTAGGAATCCATGATGATCTCAGGTCAAAACATATGAGATAAGCTTATGACTTATACCATACAGCTTTTTGAGAGTGGGTCGATTTAGCACCTTGTATCCTTTCAAGTACCTACAACTTTGATGTATATCTGTATAATTAATCAAAGTCATACTAGTCTTGTTTCATCTATGATCCCTTATAGATGACTGACAAGGGAGATTTTAGAACAACCACTATAATTTATCCAATGATACAATTATCATAGTGAACATGCAATTAATATGATAATAAAAGAAAAATTCATTAAATAATAATGTTCATAATAAAATGATTGGCCCTAGAGTACAATTTCAACAAGCATACACATGAGAATCAGCATGAGCTTAACACAAGACTTTCTGCTAGTCTCATACATGTGGGTTTTGGGTCATACATTTGTGAAGTAGAGCTTTGACACTCATTTAATGAGTTTCACAAATAAAAGGGAGAATTATATTAAAATCCCACACAGGAAAATTAATTACTACAAGTTTCATTGACAACTGAATTAAACTGCATTGATGCAATTTAGTTCAGTTGTCAATGGACCTTGCAGTAATTAATTTTCCTTATGTGAGATGTGGTTGTAATTCTCCACAAATAAAATGCTTTTCTCTAGTAAGACATTGCTTCTTCTAGCATGCAATGCAAAGACTCTAAATGATTAGTTTGAAGTGTCTAATAGTCATATTGATCAAACATTATAGATAAACCTTATTTAAGTAAGTCGATAATGAATTAAGTGATGCATTCATTAATTTCACCTACTGCATTAACTATTTTTTAGAAAAGCTCTTTGATCTAGTTTATAAGCTTTGAATTGTATTTTATTTACTCTTTTAAGAGTTTTGTGATTTGATTATCTCAATCTTTATTTCTAAAATCTTAAGGAAAGGTTTCCCATAAGTGGTTTATTTTCTTATAAAGGTTTTGTAAGTGATTCAGTAAGTGCATGACAAGTTTGAGTTGGTTGTTGTATGGAGGTTGCAAGAACCCAATTTAAACTTGTGAATTTGTACTAAAGTTGTTATACCAAGTGTTTGGACTAAACCAATATAATTCTCTGTGTGAAGCTTTCTCTTCTCAAACTTCATTTATTTAAACTCTCTTCATTTACTTTGTTTTGATAAAACTAAATTACCGTTCCATTAGGAAAAGGTTTTAAAAAAAATTAAGAGCAACCAATTCACCCCTCCTAGGGTGCCAACTTAACTACAACCTTACTCTTACATCAAATATTAAAAATGATAACACACCTAAGAGAGAGAGAGAGATGAATTAGATTTTTTTAAAATTTTTCAGTGTTTCTTAAGACTTTTCTAGAAAACAAAGTGTACAAATGCAAGTTTTAGTAAATTTAAATTCTAAACTTTATTTGCAAGAATTTTTGAACAATTTTCAAGAGCTTGACACTTATATAAAAAGATAGAAATCAAACTTCAAACAAAATCTTCAAGTCTAAAAATAAGAAAACTTCAAATACAATTTTAACACAAAATAGAGCATAAACTAAATGTGCTGAAAATATGGAGAGTTAATGGATATAGAGAGTGCAAATTGAGAATTTATCATGATTTAACTCTAGTCACTTGAGCCTATTTTTATTCTCCAAGTTGACATTTCTTCACTACAATCCACAAGTTTGAACTAGGCATTAGTGGAAAAATTGGAATATTTTTTAACTAAGAAATTAATTCGGTTATCAATTTAAAAGTAATGATACAATGTCTAAAGTTTCATTATATTTGGAATTAATTGGCTTTATCATTTTGAACTTGAAATTCTAACTCTAAAAATTCCTTTTGGAGGTAAATCGCGAAACTAATTTGAATGGAATTAATAGAAGTGTTGTTCATGATAATTATGAGATTTATTGTAAGTTTAGGAATTATCGAATGATATGATTATAGTGGTTGTATTCATGGACCATTCGATTCTCCTTGGGCTAGAACTTGATTTGCATTTTGGAATGTCATTTTAGGCCATGTAAACTTTGAATTGCACTTTTCAAGGACTATACTGCCCCTGGGATTGTGGTGTGCTGATTGTTTTCTCTCTTAAAGTGGTCATGGTTTATCCTATTGCCCTTCAAATTTTAAAAATTGATGTAACCGGGGTTTAATTTTTATTGAAACTTGTGCATGCATATATACACACACACAAACACATACACCACTTTTGAATTTTTTTATGAAGGAATTAGAATGATTAATTATTGTGTGAGTCTTGCTCTTGTATGAAATCATATAATTATTAACACATTGAAGGAATTTGTTGACATACTAAACAGCTAAAAAGGAAAAAGATAAAAGGTGAGATTTCCAAAATTCCTTATTAATTTAACAAGTCATGTATAGATTTACTTAGGTTAGATATTTAACAAGTAATATTATGGTCATGACAAGTAACACAAGGCAATTTACAAATAATATTAAACATTCTATATAAGTGATGTTAGCAGTTTAACAACATTGATGGTTCAACATTGGATGAATATTGCAAAAGTAATATTTTAGTCTTAACAAGTAACATAAGAGAATTTACAAGAGTTCACAATTTAGAAGTGAAGTTAAGAGAATTTACATTAATTTAAAAACAAGTATATTATCAAACTTCATAAGACATTTTACTTGTAAAGTCAGTAATTTAACAAATCATGTATAGTTATATATGATAGGTATTTGACAAGTAATATCACGGACTTGACAAAAATCATAAAGCAATTTACAATTAATATCATATGTTCTTCAAATGACATTAGAAATTTAACAAGTCATAGATAATTTTATATAAGATGAATATTGAACAAGTAATATTTTAGTCTTGGCAAGGGGGGAATTTAAGGGTAAGATTTCACAATTTACAAGTGAAAGAAATTTACAATAATTTAAAAACAAGTATATTATCAAACTTTACAAAATATTTCATGTTGACACTTATGACAATATATCAAAATGCGTCATTGTAAAATCAAACATCCATTTAAATGTACAAAAAAGCTTACATATCTGACACATTCAAAAGATTACAACCCATTACAAAATACTATATGGGTTGTGTAAAACTACGCAAGAGTTGTTGTTTCCCCAACCAACCAAAAAAATCCAAATTGAGTTACATTCATATTTACAAAATAAAGAGCAATTATGTTTTACTGCAGCATAGGTATAGGCAAACTTTAGGTAGTGGTCAACTTTGAAGAGTCATGCTTTTTATATCCGTTTTCCATATTGGTGGAGAGAGTGAGCTTTTATCATATTGTGTTTGTTTTATCCTACAATCAACAACTCATGTTAAGTAATTAGCAAATTATATTAGCAATTTACAAATCGTGTTAGAAATTTTACAATTAGGGGTAATTATTAAAATAAATTATAATAATTGTTATAACTTAAACGCGTTAGCAATCAAAATAGGATGGTTGTCTAAACTTTTTAGCACTCTTATACATGCATCCCTTACATTATTATTCTTTCACTTTTAATCCCAACCTCGTATATTGTACTGGCCTCATTGAGTATACACGATTTATTTTCAATAAATTAAAAACGAAGCATAGCATACACAATGCTACCCTACCTCCATAGAAGATTGGTAATCATCACCAATAATGAAGCTGGAGTCACCACACACCTCCCACAAAGGAGGGAAAAGAGAAACTCAGGGAAAAGAGAGCAACAATGATGTCATATGTGAGGTTTCTCTCAAGTGTTGCCATTTTCATTTTTAACTAGATAATTTCTCAACAGGAATTAATTTCATTTGGATCCCCCAACACTGCAGAACAATTTCAAAATTTATTGGTACTTGTATGAAATTATCTTGCTTCAACGTTCCTATCATGAAATTCTCCCTTTTCTTGAGATAACATTGAAACTAATTATGAAAAATTAGCTTTTTAAAGAAATAATGATGCATGCAGAACCAAAGTGGAAACCAAGCCGTTTCTATTCAAATTAGGCTTCCCAGCAGCTTTTTAATTATGTTATTTTTATCTTAATCTGAATCACATTATGCTCGAAGCCTACTCAGCCAACGGCAAAAAAGATTACAAATCAATATTGCAATAGAACTCCGATACCTAACCAGCAGAAAGAAGACGAATATGAAAGGAAAGGGTCAAAGTAAACAGCTGAAAAATGCAGCTAGGAACTGTCCAAGAATCAAGCGATGAATACAATAAAATACATTCTATACACCATTTTGGATCCATATAAAGCAAGCCAAATAGTACCAAAAAACTACAGGTAAAGGGGGAAAAGAAAGGACAAGACCATGTTATTTTACCCAGTAAAGAAAGAAGAAATTAAATGCATGCTACACCACAGAAAAATAACTCAGAAAAATTACAAATCCAAGGCTAATTTCAGTGCAACCTTGTAAGCTCTTCTACTCTCTTGCACAACTCTTCTACCGAAACACTCATTGCCTTCGAAATCTCATCCATCTTGCTGCGGTTGAGATCAAGAAAAGATTCAATTAAATCTCCATCAAGGAAGTTCCTGGCATCTACTTGCCTTTTCTCACTGTTGAACGATCTCCATTGCTCATGACTCAGTCCTCCAACGCCTTTAATCACCTTTCGTAAGTTTGATTGAAGCTTCTCCAGGAAGACGTACTGCTCATGAGGAAGTGAAGCAATCACACCAATCACGCCATTGATAGTGCCAAAAATAACAGTTGGAATCTGGCCCACCTCAGAATCTGGCAAGCGCATAACAAGCGAACCATGCCGGAACCGATTCACAAACTCCCCAACATGATACTCACCAACAACTTCAAGTCGGCCTCGTTCTTCATCAGTGGCCCCTTCACTATTTTTCCGAACAGTGAATAGGTTGTAATTATTTTCTGCTCCAAGGTATATATCATCATCAAGGATTTCAACAGCTGACATCCAATTTGCATTGTAGTCACGAGCTCTCTCCTCAATAGCGCCTTCTTCATGCTAACGACAGAAGCACAGTCAGAAAAATATAGTACTCATACAAACAGAGAAATACTACAGAAATACGAAATATTCATTACATAAAACTTGACAAGGAAGAGTAACACAGCCAAACCAGTATAAAATATCAAAAGCTTTTTGGCCTTTATAAGCTTCGATCCCATACGAGAAAGAGAAAGGAGAGGAAACTTGAATGAAATATAGCCAGTGAATTCTACTATACATGAAACTTCATATTTACAAGACAGGAGACTCATAATTACCAACCAAAAAAAAAAAAAAATCCTACAAGTTGCACATTTTTAGCTGACAAATATTGATTAAGGCACATGCTAAACATGCTCATGCGTGCAGTCTCGTAGGTATATTTACATTCTAATTGTAACAATTACATGATAATTTTTTAGGTTATGTATAGAAGCTCACTTACCTTGTAAATTAGTAATGAGATTGACTTCATCAAATCACCGACTATAATGAAATCTCCCCTAGTTTGCACATAAAGTGCTAGGATGTGTCCATGATGTCCACATTCAGACTGCAACTCATGGGTATTATCATCCCGGAGCATCCATTTGTACAGCTGAATTTTTTGATTAATAGCAGCGAGCAATTTACCATTAAATGCATTCAAAGAGTAAACAGCTCCTTTTGTTTCCTTCTCAGCGATAAGTTGTAGCTTTCCATCTTCGACTACAAAAACTAGAATTCTTCCCTAGATTTATTTGAGATGATACGCAAAGAGAGAATGATATTAGTGTCTCTATGGGAACAACTGTGAAGGTAACAAATATTTTACAACTTACTTTTGTTGGTTCACTTTCCTCCGGCAATACATATGCAGTTCCAACACAGTAATATACATTATTATCATCTGAGAAGGAGCAGCTGATTATAGAGCAAGCATGTTCAAAGGCGTCAAGTTGGCAAGTTGATATACATTCAAAAGTCTGGTCATCCAGCAAGCGCACAAAGTGAACTTCAGATTCTTCAGTATTTGTTTGGTTGTACTTTAAACAAACAATACCAAAAGTCTTGGACTGCTCTTGATGGCAAATGCGCCGTGCCTGCTCTCCCAATGGGATAGAGCGAATATGAAGCTTCTGAATGTCATCAATGGTGCCAATAGTGAGTTCACCCTCTTTTGCAATTGCAAGACTGTTGTTCAAAACATGAACACAAGCTCAGCACACTCATCTCTAAAAAATTTTGCACTAAAATAGAAAATTCCAGAAGCAGAAAATGACTCTGACTTTGGACAAAACAGAATGTTTCATGCATGTAAGATCTACATACCTGTCTGGAAATGCAGCAGAGTTGAAAGGGCACATATGACTAACTTCTTTCAGATTTACATTACTATAAAGTAACTTTTTGTTACTGCTATAAATCACAGTTGGCCGATCAGATGCAGCAAAAACATGAGTAGCATTCTTGGAAGAAAAAGTTCGCAAGGTAATGGGCTGTGTCCCAAGAGACACCTTTTTCCTATCTGCTAACTCACCAGTACTTGTATTCAACAGAAAGTTTATAAGATGGCCATCACCAAGGGCACATAGCAAATAAGATATCTGAAAAATGAAATGAAGAGAGAAACACAGAAAATGTTTTTAAGAACCAGGAAACTACAATTAAACTGGCGGAAACCAACACAAGCTTGTTATTGAATAGAGAGAGAGAGAGTCCAATCACATGCAAAGGAATGGATGAGAAGTCGACTCCAACAGCTTAAGAGCACAGACAGACGAAATGAAAGCAGCTAACAAAGGGAAACTATGGATATCATTGAATAGGGGCAACCAAAAGATAGCACACAATAATCCAAAATCCCATGGTGCGTTGTTTAACAAAGAACGACACTAATCCCGCCCCAGATGGGGGGGGGGGGCCTCACCAGTTTAACTGAAATTCAAAACTACATTAATCAATTCAAGTCTTCTTCAAAAGGTACACAAAAGGGGTATTTGTAGTAAATAAACTTTGACTCTCACCAGGACTCTAATCATAATAGGACACTTTAGAAAACCCTAATGGACAACTTAAGCCCAAAAACACATAATAGACTATTAGGGCCTCAAACACTAACTTAAAAAAATACTCAAAGTAAGTGCAAAAATACACTGAAAAATAGAAAATCTGAAGCCCGATTAACATGAAAGTATAATTGGACTAATTGGGCTTTATTGCTTATTCAAATGTCCAGCCAAAAGAAATACATTAAAACAAACTAATGACCCGATAATAAAGACATGTGGCACTATTTTAGCTCTTCTCTCATGGTTGGATTGAGACTTATCCTTCCAGCAAGAATGGTGCCTCCTTCATGGCTTATTATGGGCTTGAATCTCTAGGATTAAATTCAATATGCTAAAGTCTTCCTGGATCTTCTATAACTCCATTTGCCTCTAGGACTCCTTAATCATCTAGGAAATCACTAATTAGTGAATTTAGGGATTCTTTCACCCAAATGGCCCTGGATTTGGTCATTGGTCCTCGAACCAACTTAAATTCTCAAAAAACACAATGCTACTCCTAATAAATTAAGAAGACCATTTAATTCCAGTAACAACTTGACAACCAAGTCACATTTGAAGGAGTGGATGAGGATCCTATAACAATTGAAGCTCAGCCTGCCCGCCCTCGCCCCCTTCCCCAGAAAAAAGAAAAAGAAAAGAACACCAACAAAATCAAGAAGCTAGCAAACAAAAACAGAATATTCCCCCCGATTGAGTCTAAAAAACTGACACCAAATCAAATTCTTCCTTAACCCATCATTGACTCCATGCGCCACAATATATTCTCGTATGCCCAATAACCCATGCAAGCCAACAATGTTTTTCCCATTTATGCCCTTATAGACACTTCACCTACTATGCCAGCCTTGGACCCTCCCTTGTTACTTGTATCATACTTTCCATCTTTTTCATACATTTTCAGTATTTTAGATTTGTTTGCACTAAGCCCCTCATAAGACAAACAAGAAATAAATGAAAAGATTGAATGCTATCAATGTTCTGGTTTCACCACAAATCATTTCGCAAATAAATACTAACATTGCTAATTTAGTGTATCTCGCACAGTAACTTGCACAAAGATTAAAAAAATCCAAAAACCCTTATATTATGGAAGTTGAACACTGAACAGAAGCAATCTGAATTATAACACCACAGAATGTGAAAAATTGAATCAACAAAAACCACTTTGGAAATTAGCTCAGTGCAAGCTTACTCCTTCAAAGATGCAAAGAAGAATAAAGCCAAATATCTAAACGTACAAACCTAAGAAGAAGGATTAACAAGCATAAAAGCAAGCTTGAGGTAAGCCAACCCTTCAAACGGGTGGAGTAGAGTCAAACAATCTCAAAATGTCAATAACTAAATCAGAAACAGAATACAAACAGCACAGAATTGAGCTCAAGGGAAACCAACCCCCCAAATGTGCAAAAACAGAATCAGATATCTCAAGATGTGAATTCAAAAAAAGCAGAAGCAGGAACATAACAGCATAGAAAATAGCTCAAAGCAAGCCTTACCCTTTAAAGATGCCAAGAGCAGGACCAAAGATATCAAAATACGAATAAATAGAACAGCAGGAAAAAATCAGCATAGAAGCAAGCTCAAAGAAAGCATACCCCTTCAAAGGTGCACAGAAGCACAGATCGAGGTATTATCTCTCCTCCTAAATGCTCTTGAGTTATGAGGTTCAGGTCTGGGAGAGAGAAGATTCTGACACTTATGTCAGTCCACATTCCAACTACTGCTAGATGACTGTAATTGGGGTTCTCCCCAATGGGATTTATGTCGAGGCATGATATCTCATTATTCAGCTGGGCATGCTTTACTTCTGTCAAAATGCCATCTCCAATTTCCAGATATACTAAATGCCCACCTCCTGTGGCCAACAAAACCTGCATGCAGGTAAGCCCTTTAATAACTATCAGCAGTACAACAAGCATACCATGTGGAAATCACCATAGTCTAATCCGACAATGAAAAGATAGATGCAGGGAAATGAAACACGAGTACATACACTGATACAAGCACGCAGACACAGATACAGATGCAGACACGTCAAGTTAATCATAATAGAATGAACTAAATCAGAATTGGTCGCCAACTCATCATAAAATAAGGTGTTATTGAGCTAGCCTGCATATCAACTCATCATCAAATCACTCAAATCTTGACCAAGTGTTTCCCCAAAAACCCAGTTTGAATCATCTATCCATGCTGGAAATGGTTTATATTTATTCGTCAAACCAAGCTTTAAGAGTGAAATCACTAAGTATATTTATTCATCTATCTATAATCTTTATTTCTTTTCTTTTCAGATGAATCACTAAAAAGTTATTATTTCATTCTTAGAGGTTGTCAATTAGAAATTGATCCAAATTTATTACTGTCAGAGATCTTTTGTCTCCTTGTCTCAGAAGTATTCTTCCCATGCAAGTTCTTCGAGTTGCCTCTGTTTTGTGAAAGACAAGTGCCAACGCAGGACACGTTTTTCCAAGTGAATACTCAAGAGACAAATGCGGTGATCAAGCAGTGTCCCATCCACTTCAAAAAATTGGCGACAACGGTAAGCCCATTCTCTAAAATCTGTAGCGTTGAACTTTGGAAATTCAACCCTGCTACTTTTAGTCGGTGCTGAATAAGATGGAGATGGAGTGGGTAAAAGACCTTGAAAGGATCTGAACTGAGGTGGTGGAGTGAGAATGGGAGGGAGAGGTGCTGTGGCGGATGGGGTCGTTGGTCTAGAGAAGAGAGGTGGCAGTGGAACGCTGATAGGTGGTGGAGGGAAAGAGGTGGATGGTCGAGAGGGGACCACAGAGGCTGTTTGGGAGGTTAGAGCTTGAGAAAGTGGTTGAGAGGGCTCACCGATTTAAAGTGAAGGAGAATGCAAAGGTTGGTTCGAGAGGATACTAAGCTTCTCCGAAATCTCCTTCATAAACTAAGAGTGTGGTTTTAATCTCAGATATGTCGCTAGTGTGTTGGTCCAAAGTCAGTTGAGTGCTCTGAAGCAATGAAAATTGCATTTCCAAGCGATGTTCAACATCGCCAACACATTCAGTCGAGGACCACGTCTGCCATTGCCGGAGTGACGGCTCTGATATCTTAATGTTAAGAGAAGAGAGAAAGAAAGGGGAGAATAGATTGATTTCATTCACAAGAACGTGCAGTAGTGCATGATACAGCATATATATCATTACCCTAGACACGTGTCACCACAAGTACGGTCCTAATCTGTCAATAACTACCCTACTGTCCTAGCACAGCCAGCAATATATATATAAGAAAAGGTAATAGCAGCATAAAAAGACAATAAAACCCTCATCATAATATTAACTCGTAACATGAACCCACAATTCCATGGCTTTATAAAATTCACGACTATTGCTCTGCATGGCACTAGCTACAAATATCAAAGAAAACTAATACAAGGGACTACCCCTGTCGTGATGAAAAATAAGGATAACAAAGTGCTCATGGATGGAGAACTTTAACATCCTGACAGTTCAACCATATCCAAACCTTCTGAAATGATGGAAGGGTCAAAGGAAGCCAAAAGAAGGTACATTCTTCCCCATCTTAACAATGCTACATTAATTAAGCACTAGAAAAACAGAACACCATGCAAAATGTCACTGACAATAAAAAACACTAAGGGGTCCATAAAGTAGCAAAATCATACCTGGGTGGCATTTGCAGTGGCCACATTAACTGAATAGCCTGATGGAGCATGCCATTCATGCCGAAGCTCTCTAGTCGTGGAACTAACAAGCCTTACAGTGCTTGAGGTGACCTGTTCAGCCAAAACAGGAGCACTATTATGAGAGAAGTAGGAGAACACAGCAAGATAAAGTTGAGATATGTTCATCAAACTTCATAGTTTCTCCATATTATCAAAAAACATTGATCGCAATATCAATGATAAATTTCCATTCATTTTCATTATTAATGTTCTCACCCTTCATATTCATTTACAAATTATTAAAACTCAATCAGGCACAAAGAGACTAAAAAACAACTAAGAAAAATAAAAAAAGACCTACCTGAACAAGTTGGTTGTGAATAGCATCATGACAAAATAATGTTTGCACTTGAGAACAGAAGCCTTCTATTTCAGTTTCTTCCAGCTCATCTTCAAGATTCATAGCTAGAATTCGTGTCTCACTGATAAAACTTACAACCAGGAAGGTGTCAAAAGGATCATCAGTTGAAGATCTTAACGACCACATTCCCTTGATACCTTGAAGTTCTACAGATGCCTACATCACATATATGAATGAAAAATTAGTATTATGCAATTATTTTTATTTTTGAAAGACCTCTTGTTTTATTGATTAAAAAAATCCTTTTCTTTTTGGCACTTTTAGAAAAAGGGAAAAGAACGTCAAACTAGAAATCACCTGTTCATTAATCCCTATTCCATTCCGAACAATACGAAGAGAACCATCCTTGAAAGCTCCAGAGCAGGTTACAACCTGCCCTTGGCCTTGCCTTTCCAGGTCCACCACACACAGGTCAACAATTGGCCCCAAATTGACGTACCTTTCCAAAACTTCCACATAAGAACCTCTTGCATCTGGCTGTAGATTTAGCTTTATCAGCTGTAATTAACAAGTCTCAATATCAGTATACCAAGCTTCCAAATGTGAAAGAATGCATGGACTTTCTACAACACCTGATCATTAAAGCAGCATGGAACAATCAAAGAGAAGGATTAAATAAAGTAATCCCCATATACCAAAATCTCCCTGATACGGCCAGTTTTCTATGTATCATCCATGTATAGTAATCAATGTCTCCAACTCAATTTCACAAGGACAATCTTCATCCCTTGCCTGGCATGACCTTGAGATCCCTTGCAAGCTTATATCTCAAAGATGGCGGATTATTTCCTACATCTATAAGGTGGGAATTTATCTTCTTCTACCTATACAATCTTTGATATAACAAAATATTTTTGTTACATAAAACATGATTTGTACAAAAAAATATAAACACTATACAATCTGAGGATGAACATTTTGTTTTGATATTTCCAATTTTCATAGACAATGAACTTATTATTTACTCTCTCCTATCCAAAATATAAGCAACTTTGAGAAAAAATCCGCATGCCATTAAAGTCCTTTTCCCATAGAAATATATAATGATTTCCCCTTTTACCCTTTGCCCTAATTACTAATGCAGTTTATAATGAGTGAGAAATAAATTTACACAAGGATTTAGGTTAATAAATACAAGAGGTAAAATGGGGGGAAAAATTAGATATATTAGATTTCTTATATTTTAAACCAAGATTAGTTAAGAGAAATGTTTATATTTTGGACCGAAGGGAGTATCCTCTTTTAAAGGGTAATATGGGAACCATATGTTCAAATGTACATCTCCCGATGTCAAAAGCAACCCTAATGAGAGGTAAGTGAATGTTCTTTCAATGACTTCTAGAATGTACATCAAAAAGTCCATTCTCCCCATAAAAAAACATCCAAACAACTTCCCACATCCCAAAAACAAGAAAGTACACATATGCATATCTATGGCAAAAGAATTTGATGCATATCTATGGTAAAAGAATTTGAGATGATGTAGAGCAAGGGGTAAGCAGGTCCCTCATCACTGTAAATCCACACTTACTATCCTGGACATAAGTACTTGTAATTTAATCTTTTTTTTCTCTGTGTTTTCATTGATAAATCATGATTACATATATAGACAGAGGGGAGAGAGAATAAATCTAATCAAATCCCTAAACTCTCTCTTATGAAATAAAAACTAATAATAATAATAACTAATTACGAAACCTAAAGGGAAAGTGGACGTTACAGGCTCAAGAAGGAAAATTAGGTTTGTGCATTAGTAGGTCTAGGCCCAATATAGGCAAAGGCCCACATCCAACACTCCCCCTCAAGCTGGTAAGTAGATGTTAATCATTCCCAGCTTGCTCCTAAATGCTTCAAATTTTTCCTGAGTCAATGCTTTGGTCATCACATCTACAATCTCCTGAACCGAAGGGATATATGATAGATCAATCACTTTTGTGTCCAATTTCTCTTTGATGAAGTGCCGATCAATCTCCACATGTTTTGTGCGATCATGGTGTATAGGGTTATTTGCGATCTTGATTGCTAACATGTTATCACACCATGCTTTGATTGGTCCAATTGTCTCAATCTTCAATTCCTTTAGAAGTCTAACAATCCACATTCCTTCACAAGTTCCTAGGGCAAGTGCCCTGTATTTGGATTCAGCAGAGCTTCTTGAAACTACTGGTTGCTTCTTACTTTTCCAGGTCACCAGGTTACCCCACACATATGAGCGGTACCTATAGTGGATCGTCTATCCATTCTTGAACCAGCTCAATCAGCATCTATGAACAACTCTATGCCCCTAGTATCACCTTTTGCGAAGAATAAACCCAAGCCTAGGGTTTTCTTTAGATATCTGAGTATTCGGTGGATAGCAGCCATATGTTCTTTTTGAGGACAGCTTGAGAATTGACTTTCTACACTCACAAGAAAGCAAATATCAGGTCGAGTGTGTGATAAGTAAATCAACTTCCCTACCAAGTTTTGATATCTTCTTTATACTGGTACACCATCAGATCTGATAGTTTTTGATTTAACTCCATCGGAGTGTTTGCAGGCTTGGCTCCCAGCATCCTTGTTTCCTTAAGCAAATCCAAGGTGTACTTTCATTGTGACACGTTGATCCCCTTATGAGTTCGTGCTACTTCCATCCCCAAAAAATACCTTAAAGATCCAAGGTCTTTGATTTCAAATTGTACTGCTAGGTTGGTCTTTAGCTTGGCAATTTCTTCCTTGTCATTTCCTGTCAACACTATATCATCAACATACACAATAAGGGTTGTTATTTTATCGCCATGATGTTTGACAAATAGCGTATCATCGGCTTGACATTGCTTGTATCCCCACGCTTTGATAGCTCAAGCAAATTTCTCAAACCATGCTCTTGGTGACTGTTTAAGTCCATATAGAGACTTGATTAACCTGTAAACCTTGTGAGAATTATTAGTGTCTCGTAATCCCAAAGAATTTTTCATATAAACTTCTTCCTCAAGATCACCATTGAGGAAGGCATTTAACATCTACTTGATGAAGAGGCCAATCTAAATTGGTAGCAAGAGATAATAAAATTTTTACAAAGTTAAGTTTAGCAACAGGGGAGAAAGTTTCTTGGTAATCAATACCATATGTTTGGGTAAATCCCCAGGCTACCAATTGAGCCTTATACTTATTCACATTTCCATCAGGATTTTACTTTACTGTAAAAACCCATTTACTACTTACAACAGGTTTCCCTTTAGGTAACTTAGCAATTTCCCAAGTTTTATTTTTATGTAGGGCTCTTAATTCTTCCTCTATAGCATTTTTCCATTTAGGATCAGTGATAGCTTCTTCAAATTTCTAGGGACTTTTTTCTTTCTCAACATTAGCCACAAAAGTCTTTTTATATGAGAGGATAGTTTGTTGTATGAAACATACATGGAAATAGAATGCTTAGTGCAACTTCTTTTCCTTTTTCTCAAAGCAATTGGCCAATGTAAATAAGACTCTCCTCGGGTATAGAATCATGGTATTGCATTGGTATGGAAACGGGATTTTCTTTACTTTGATGCCATTCAGTAGTACTTTTTGGTTCATCCACCTGAGTCTTAGAATCAGGAAGCATATTTAGTGGCTCAAAGGGGTTTGCATCATGAAATCTGGATCTATTTGAAGAGTTTTCAGAGTCTGGTGAACTTGTTTCAACATTTTCAAAGCTGTTCTGAGGTTTAGACTCAAAATTTCTTGAGTCTAAATTGGTGGAAGAGCTATTGGTGGAGAGATCTGGGGATATGTGGGGTTCAAGAGGCTGTCTAGGGTGCTGTCTAGGGTGATAATCATTCTCATCTAAGCAAATTGACCATTCGCTTTCCTCACCCTCCCCCTAAATGGGAGATTTGTTAAAAAAGAATTGATTTTCAACAAATTTGACATTCATGGTGATGTATATCCAGTTTGTAATAGGGGAATAGCACTTATACCTTTTTGGGTAGAGGAATATCCCAAGAAAACACTTGATGGCTCGAGAGTCAAGCTTTCCACCACCTTCATTGTATACAAAGGCCATGCATCCAAAAACCCTTATTGGAATAGAAGTAGTAAGATGGGAGTTGGGATAAGACTCAAGAAATTTTTGTAATGGAGTTTGAAAGTTGACGGTTTTGGAAGGTAAGCGATTTATCAAATATGCAGAAGTAAGAATGGCATCCCTCCAAAATTTATTAGGGACATTACCACCAAACATAAGGGCTCAAGCAACCTCAAGTAAGTGTCTATTTTTTCTTTCGGATACACCATTTTGTTGAGGGGAATAAGCACAAGAAGTTTGATAGTGAATTCCTTATTGTTCTAAATAGTTTTTGAAAGTGGAGTTCAAATATTCTCTTCCAATGTCACTGCGGAGAATTTTAATTGATGTTTGAAATTGATTTTGAATAAATACATGAAAATTTTTAAAGATGGTGAAAACCTCAAATTTTTCTCTCATTAGAAATACCCATGTTAATCGAGTATGATCATCTATAAACGTGACAAACCACCTACATTTAGAGTTTGTTTCAAATTTTGATGGTCCCCATACATCACTATGGATAAGGGAAAAAGGGTGAGTTGAAGTATAAGAGTTAGAAGGAAAAGAATGTCGGACTTGCTCAGCGAAATTGCAAGTATCACGATGAAATTCAGAAATTGTTTTATTGTTGACATCAAGAAACAGAAATTTCATATATTGAAAGCTTGGATGGCCTAACCTAGAGTGCCATAAAGTAAGGTCAACACTGGTCATGATAAAACAAATAGCAAGATTATTCTTGGATGGAGATCCATGAATATAGTAGAGCCCATTCCATTCCTTAGCATTGCCAATCATCTTCCCCAAGACCAAGTCCTGAAATTCACAACCCCTTTTATCAAAAAACACTAAGCAGTTTGCTTGATTTACAATGCGACTTACAGACAGTAAGCTACATTTAATAGTTGGAACATATAAAACATTCTTTAAGGTAATATGCTCAGAAATAATTATAGTTCTAGAACTCGTGACTTTTGCAAATTCACCATTGGCTACTTCAACATATTTATGCTCAGAATGTTCATTAAAATCAGAAAAAAGTTCTCTGAAACCTGTTATGTGATCAATAGCTCCTGAATCTACTACCCAAATATTCTTTGGGTTGGCTTTCTCACTAAGAGTATTAGTAAGGGCAGTACCTGATTGTGCCAAGTTTACAGAAAGGTGTTTTGTCTCACTCATTCCAGTTGAAGAAGCATGCTTTTCTAGGATATTCTGGAGAACTGACAACTCTTCAGCACTTAAAGACCCTCTTTCAAGTTTTGCAGCACCATCATAAGTCCCTTTCCTTCATTGTTAGGCTTTACTTTGGAATTTGGGGGCTTTCCATGTAGTTTCCAGCAAACGTCTTTGGTATGCCCACCCTTATTGCAATGATCACACCATTTTCCAGGTTTCTTGCCCTTCATTTCCCCTTGAGCTCCACGGACAGCATGTGTGGAAGTGTTATTCGGAAGAGGAGTTGATATCGTGGAGCTTTGAGTCAACATTTTTCTGCTCTCTTCACATCGGATCATGTTGAAGGTTCCTTCCAGCATAGGAGGGGGTTTCATGCTCATTATTCAACCCCGAATATCCTCAAAAGTTTCATTTAGACCCAACAGAAAATCATAGCATCTGTCCCGGCCAATCAGTTTTTTATAATAAATCCCATCCCTGTGACAAGACCACTCATGGATCTCATAGAGATCGATTTGCTGCCAGAACTTCATTAGAGTAGTATAATATTGAGTTACAGACTTGTCACCTTAAACAAGATTTCTAAGGGAACGTTTTACTTGGAATATCCCAGCAGTATTTTCTTTGACCGAGTACGTGTTCTTTGCTGACTCCCAAATTTCTTTGGCAATGGTTGCAAGCAGGTAATTCTCACTTATCTCCACTGTTATGGAATTTACAAGCCACACCATCACCATATTGTTCTCAGCAACCCATATTGCATATTGGGCATCATCAGGCATCGGTGGCGAAGGAACACCCGTGAGGTGTTTTTCTTTATTCCTCCCTCGGACTACCATCAAAATGTTCCAAGACAATTGAAGGTAGTTATTCCCATTCAAGCGATGGGTGACTGCGACCTGGTAGTGCGTCTCAATTATTGGCGCGACTACCCTAGAAGACAGAATCATTGAGTTCGGGCCTTCTCCTCCAATCGCACCCTTCTCGTCCCCAATCGAAGGCATTTTGCTGCCATCACTGGTTTGGAAGACCCGAGGCTGTTGGTGAGTGAGTGCGTTTATGTACAACATCGTAAAGGAGGGAAGAGTCGAGACCAGAGCTCTGGTACCATGTAATTTAATCTGTTTTTTCTCTGTGTTTTATTGATAAATCACGATTATATATATAGACGGTAGGGAGAGAGAATAAATCTAATCAGATCCCTAAACTCTCTCTTATGAAATAAAAACTAATAATAATAATAATAACTAATTATAGAACCTAAAGGGAAGGTGGATGTTGCAGGCTCAAGAAGGAAGATCAGGTTTGTGTATTAGTGGGTCTAGGCCCAATATAGGCAAAGGCCCACATCCAAACGTGCTCTACTATTCAGAGGCAACCAAGTGTATATCATCTAATGGAGCATTTCACAAAAAGATGAAGCAAACCAAAGTTGATTGCCACTTTGCAAGGGAGAATGTTCTGTAGAATTAGATTAACAATTCTTATGCTTTTACAAGAGTAGTAGCAAATTTATTTAATAAGGAACTTGATAATAATTGAATTTTGTTGAAATATGCTGAACACAATCAGTATGATATCTATGCTCCATTTTATGATCATAAATGAATATATAAAGAACTAACCATATAAGTCAATTTTTTGGCAAACTAAGGATATAAGTCACAACATTCGAAGATAAATTTCAGGATTCATATACCTGTGAATCTCCAACACTTGACCCAATATATACAAATGCATTGTCAAGATATGATATAGTAGAGGGAATGGAAGTTTCACCCAGTGTCTCAATTTTGAGACCAGTAACCCTACATAATTGTATATGAGAAAACATAAGATCAAGATGTTAAGATATTAACAAATCATTGCACTAATTAGTATCTTCATAAAATCAGAATGATAAATTTGATAACCCAAAAAAGAAAAAGGGGAATGAACAGTCACATACTTCTCTCTCTCATGCGTAATTACAAGTAGGCTAAGCAAACCAGTAACATCACCAAGTAAATATCTGGAACCATCAGGATCAATTCTTCCATAGGCTCTGGTATTTGACTGTAATGTACATCACGTAAAGTGATAAACAAAAGTCCAAAAATATGTATCATTCAGATATAATTTACAAGAATTATGAAATTCACTTTCAATGATATTAAAGGCGATAGCAAATTACATACTTGTTTGATTGGGATAGCTTTGAAAGCATTTGCACTGCAGTATACTATGGTTTCTTCTCCAATAATAAGGACACCACAAAGAGGTGGAGGAACTGGTATTAATATTTCAGCCCCATTATCAAGGTTGTTTTGGGACCATGGACCCTCAACAAAATCTTTATCCTTCAGAGCAACCTCATATGTTTTCACATGACGTGCATCTTTGTTATCCTGTAATTTTGAAGACATTACATCAAAGCCATAAAAACTTCATGCTACTGTAAAACACACTGGTGGTTACAACAAATTGACACAAAAATTATGTAAAATTAAATGCAGGATTTATGAAAATAGAATACATACATGTGTATATCCAACCAAACTTAAATATACAAGGTCATCACATCACAGCCAAAACATATATACAACAGCACAAATATCACAAAAAAGAACCACCAAGCGTCAACAATGATTTTAATAGTCCAAAAATCCATGTAATGAAGGCCTTGCCTTGCGATTTTGGAGGTAAGATTCACATAAAACTAAAGCATATACATTTTTCCTCTTACATTTATATTTCAATAAAAAAACTATACTGTGAAAAGGGGCTAATACATAATAAGATACAAGTACCAACCACAACCTTATTTTAGAACATGATCAGCACAGGAAGAGAAGTAGGGAAGTTGCCGTTGTAGCTAAATTTTGAATCACTTAGAACACAATAGCTAGACTTTTGACTTCCGAAAAAATAATAAAGTAAAAGTTAAGAACAACAAAAACAGCTGAACAAGATTATAAAGAAATTATAAGCCCAAAACAGTTGATTCAAAACCTGATAAAGAACCACAATCGTTGGTTTTGGACAGCCATACAGAAATTTGATATCCAAAACTTGGAGCTCCTCAAGGCTGAAAATATCACATAATTTCAATGAACATAATAAAATGAATAGACATTAAGCATAATAGATTGGAACAGAATGAAATGAAAAATGAAGTTAAAGAAGTGATTTTAGGCCAAGATATTTCTAACCAATGATTATGTCTAGACTCTGGTAATAAAGGTCATAGTCAGATATTTTGACATCAAAAAAAAAAGAAATTACCGAATATTGAATGCTTCCTTGAGCTGTCCTCTACTGTCAAAAGGGATAACCTTGAAGAACAATCAACAATTAATCATTCCAATACTTCAGTAAAAATGACAATGAATGCAAACATTCATGAATCACAATAGTGTGTACTAGTACTTTTATGCAATGGTCAATGTTTAAATGTCACGTACTTTAAACAATCCATCATACAAGTGAAGCCCAATCAGTCTGCAATCAGGATCGATAATGCCAATCTGCAGGAAGAGAACCAGACCTAAAGTGAATTGCAATTCACAAAACTTTCACCATTCAGACTTCACTAAAACTGTTTCAGCATCTTTTAGACATAGAAATACATACAAATAATAAATACCCCCAAAACAAATAAGTAGATAGAAGTGTATACACACCTGACCATTATCAGAAGCACGTCCTATACGATCTGAAACATCACCCATTGCTCTGATGACATAACAAGTTGGTATATGAGAAACAAGATAAGTTTTCAAAGTCCTAAACATACTATTTCTTGCATTTTGAACTGAATATGATTACACATCAAAGGTGAAAAGATGGTAGAAAGTACATGAATAAAATTGCTGAATGTTCCCTTTCTGAGTATTGCAAGACATTTACAAAGGAATAAGTAAGGATTCAAGCCACAAAACCAGCACATAATCCATTACAATTAAGCCCACAAAAACTCCTTACCATTGGGCATAAAAGCTAAAAGAAAATATGTACAAAACAGGCAGTAAAAATAAATAAAGAAAAAGAATAAAATGGGATAAGGCTTCTTGTCGTTTGTTGTCCAATGATCAAGACAGAGGAGGCAACCCCAGTCAACCCTAGTCAACTATTAACTTTCAAGGGTCTAGACTATGGTCATAGAAAACTAAATATGATTACATGCGGCACTAAGAACAAAATTTCTAAATCTTCATGAAGATTCCTAGGATTTAACTAGAATTCTAAATCTTCATGAAGATTCCTAGGATTTAACTAGAATTATCAAAACCAAATAAAAACATAAAGCCAGTATTCCTGCATAAAGAAAACAAGCAATAACAGCTTTTAATCACCTATCTATGGCCCTTCCTTTCTCAGAAAGGAATATTTCCTTCTTCCTAACTCTAGATTGATTAAAACAAACTAGGTGAAGACTAAGACATATCAACCCAAAAGCTAAGACCATAGTATGGAAACCTAGATCTACCTACCTGGTTGAACAAATAAACCATTAAACCAGTGTATTGACTGATCTAGTAAAATGCTTTGTTTATAACTGGTTTGAGTACGATTTTGACTATTAACCCTTGAACCAATACCTTGACCAGTTTTTCCGAGTTTTCATCAATTTCTATTAGTTGTAATTGCATTTTCCTTCTCTATAAGCAACCTATGGCCTTTTGAATACTTTAAATAGCAGTAAAAACAAAGATTCTAATGTCTATGTTCAGGTTCTTCTCTTCCAAATTTTCAAACCAAAAGCTTGTTATTTAGACAAAGAAAAGGATCAGTTTATCATGTTCGAAGCTGAAGATGTTGCCACAAGCGACCCTTGGGTTATTTGTGTCAAAGTCAACTTCAATGGTTTGGCCCCACCATGTGCACTTCCTTTCTTTGTTAAAACCCATCTATCTAGGAGTTGAGAAGAGCATTTTGTCAAGCCCAAAAGAAGAACAATCCCATCTTTCTCCACACATTGGCTTTGAACACTTTCTGAAGATTAATCCCCTACAAATGTGCAAGACTTTGTGCATCGTGGAGGGTAATTGGTTTGAGAAGCCTCACAAGTCAAATGAATTCTCATTAGCCCACCAATTATGATCAAACAAGATGCTCCTCAAATAGTTGGAGTTTACACGTGATTGCATCAAAGTTGTGATTGAACTCGCCCAAACTTCTTGTTTGTCTCAACACATGAAGTCTTCAATGGGAGCCTCATACGAAGGCCTGAACCTTGCCTTCATCGCTTTAGTATATTCATCACAAGGGAGTTACACACCTACTCGTCATCCCTCGTGACTTTCCAAGCATCTAGTGTGTCATCCCATTGACAGTAACACTCATACTTCATAAGCCATCCAAGAACATCATGTTGGAATCTTAAAAGTCCATCTCAATCAAACAAGTAAAAGATTGATAATCTCACTGCTATATTTTGGGTCAATGATGACCACCGCCCACTTACATGAGACGAAGAACCTCTACTATTGCAAGACTCATCAAAGCTTCAAACGAGTTGAGCAACCTAAGCTGTGAGAGCTTGGAATTGATTCTCCAAAGCACAAAACCTCTCGTCATTCCGATCTGCCATTCTTCTTTGTGTAGTTTGTGAATGCATTTCAAGCATAGAAGATGAGGAAAGATGCTCTGGATACCACTAATATGATAGAGAGGAAGCAATGAAGAGAGATAGAGACATAAGAGAAATAGAGGAGAATTGAATAGCACTCAAATATTATTGACATAGCATAGCATGCACCTAGGTCTAAGCCTCTTGTGTCATTAAGGAGTATATCTTATCATCCTCCTTTTCCATAATTGTTTTGCTTCTACATGGTAATCTTTATTCCTTAATTCTAAAATTATTAAATACATAGTTGAATACCAAATTTAATACTTACCTCTGTCACGTGACAGTAACCACTAGTGAAACATTGGCATAATGAAAATTTAATAAACATTCTTATCATATGAACCCACATCAATCACTACTAAGATTGAAGAAATTACTTTTACAACCTTGAATAACTCAACTCTAAAGGAAAGAATTGTTATTTTCGAATGCATTACCTAGTGATGAGCTCAGAAATCTCAGGATCCCATTGGAGAACACAGAATTTGTACCTCTCTGTTGCAATAAATAGAAAATCTTGTGCTTCACCCTGCCAAAGACCATATACAAGAAAAGTAAAAATGATTGACACCAAAAATTTGAAAATAGCAATTCAAGAAGTATAGATGACTTGTCTCTCTCACATGAGGGCGGAAAAGTTCAACTGTTGCAATTCTTCCATAGATTGGAACATCCAACATAGGCTGCAAATATAAGCAAAACATTATATGAGCACTCCATTCTAGACTATTGAAGAAGAATTGGATTTCTATAATCCCTAACTATTGAAAGGAAAAAAAAAACAAGAAGAAGAAGAAGAAAGTTAAAACAGTTACTGTTTTGTGCTCCTGATAATTAAAAACATTATTTTTTGTGATAAACTACATACAAAACTCTCCTGAATTGGGAATACCATCCAACTTGAAGAGAATTAAACTAGGAAAAAGAATTATATATATATATATATATATACCTGCAAGCCCTGAGGAGTAAGCAAATGAATCTCAATCCGGGTACATTTCCTGGTAGGAAATTAAAAAGAAATTAGATGACAACAACTGGATACAATTTCATGACAAATTTTTCATTTCAAGTCTGCCAACATTCTAAATAAGTTAACCTGGATATGTATCTCCCTATCACCAGATGTATATTAAAACTGCATCAGTCTTATTTTATTTTAACACATTTACAAATCATGCGTTATAAGTAAATAAAAGGACCATACGCAAACTGTCAATAAAAAGGAAACGAGATATCCAGTCTGTTAAATCTTCACTCTATTCAGGGAGAGGATTGAGGTTTAAGGGATAATGCTTATCACAAACTAAAACAGGATTAAAGGACGACATTATATTGCAGCAAAACAGATGACGCTTGTCATGAACTTGGAAAGCTAAACTTCAAATCCATAGGAACTCGCAGTAATAAATCTTACAAAATAATCACAAACTAAAACAGGATTAAAGGACGACATTATATTGCAACAAAACAGATGACGCTTATCATAAACTTGGAAAGCTAAACTTCAAATCCAAAGAAAACACGCAGTAATAAATCTTACAAAACAAAAATCACATGCTTAGCATCAGCCATTCCCAAGATTCCAAACGCAAATACTAAACGTACAGAAAACCTACGTTTCACTCTGACAGTTGTTCAAAACGCTACATAAGATTGAAGATTCACGGAACTGTGTAGACGACAGAATCCAAAAGGGGAAAAAACAAATACGAAAATGAAAAATTAAATTTAGAGCCCTAGTAGACATAATGAACAATGGGTAGAAATGGGATTTACGCAATAATGAGATTGAGGTCTTGGGGACTGGTAAAATTGCCGACGCATGAGTGAAAGACGGCCGTAGGCTTGTGAGCCGTGACCACGTAGTTCCATATACTCATCTTCTTAAAACTTCCCCAACTATAGTTACTCCAGACTCTCTTGAAGACGGGCTATCTCCTATAACAAAGCTATATAGCAGTGAAACCAAGTTGGTTCAGTCTTCGGCTCTTGCGCACCCGCTATCACCAAGGGCACTCTCTCTTGGCTCTTTGCCTTCAGGGGCCTCGCATGTTTCTTTTAAATATTTTTCTTGTTTTTACGTTTTTGAGAAATTTTTTTATTTTAAATATTTTTTAGATTCATATATTTAACCATATATATATTGTATTTATTTTTAATTAAATTGATACATGTAAATATTTTATAAATTATTTATCCTATAATAAAATCTTATTATTAATATTATTAATGTATTAAAGTTCATTTATCTAAGCTTGATTAGATAAAAGTATATATTAGTATATAAAACTAGGACATAAATTTTAACCTAAAAAATACTCAAATAAAAAATTACATTATTAAATATCATTTTTTAAGGATCCTTTAGTTTAATTCCTGATTTGTTTGGGATACGATTTGACATAATGCAACAATCTTTTTATTATTATTATTACAAGACAAATATTATTCAACTAAGAAAAAGAAAAAAAATTCATCCCCTTTTATCAGATTCCAAAAGTAAAAAGATCTGGCATGATATGAGGCAACTGAATTATTGCTCATGATAATACAAAATTTCACATTTTGTTATCTCACAGAGAATAATACTGATTGAAATATCTCATAAGTTTTAATGAAATTCAAAACCATATTAATCAATTCATGCCTTTTCTAAATTCAATGGAGAGGTATTTGTAAGAGCTTGATTTGACTCTAACTAAAAATTGTAATCATATTATGACTCTTTAGGAAAGCCTAATTTAAAAATTCTAATGGACAACTTAAATCGGTAAAACCTACAATAGGCTACTAGGGTCTAAAACAACAACTTAAAAATTACTCAAAAGTATAAGTACAAAAATATACTAAAAAATAGAGGAACTAAAGCTCAATTAACAACATAAATGGACACTAATTGGATTTGTTACATGTAAGCCTTCATCAAGCCCATCAAGTCTCTTCTGGTTAGTATTCATGGTCATGAATTCCCATCATGGTACATTAGAATATGCTATAGGGAAAATCATGGTGAAGGGCCTTTAGAGCATTTTATTTACAAAAAAAGGATAAAATGATTTTGAATTCACTCTAAAGGACCAAGGGACCAAAATGTATTTTAGCATAAAAAGATAAAATTATCCCTCATTTAAAAAAAAAAATTCATCACCATCATCGACCACCAGACCACCTGTCGGAGATAGGACCAGTGAGGGAGACAAATTAAATTAAATTTTTTTAAGGTGGCCAAATAGAAGTTTGAACCCACATCCCCTTGGCCACAAAAAAATAATTAACCACTACGTTAGCAATTTCTTTTAATCATATAATGCAAATCTTTATATATAGTTTTAACTTTGTTTTCACTTTCTATGTCAATACTTATTAGGAGCTTAATGGTTACTTGTCATTTTACAAATAGCTACTTATTAAATTACTAATGAGATTTGTTTAAAAATTTAATATTCACTAACTTTTATAAATATAAAAAATCAAATAACAAAAAATAAAATTAATATAAATAATTATTATAATATAATTAATTCTAATTATAACTTTTATTATTTTAATAGAATTATTATTATTATTATTATTATTATTAAGTACTATTGTTATTATTAAGATTATAATATAATAATACTCTATATTCTAGTTAATAATAGTCTTAATATTTTATTTATAGATTATAGAATAAGGAATAAAAAAATTTTAAGCCTGGCCTTTTTATTCCCATGAATTTTGGATAAAAATGATTTATTTGATATGAGAAATTATTTATAGATTATAGAATAAGGAATAAAAAAAAATTTAAGCCTGACCTTTTTGTTCCCATGAACTTTGGATAAAAAATGATTTATTTGATATGAGAAAAGAATACTATAATATTATTAAATAGAATATAGAGTATTATCATATTATAATCTTAATAATAACAATAGTACTTAATAATAATAATAATAATATTCTATTATAATAATAAAAGTTATAATTAGAATTAATTATATTGTACTAATTATTTATATTAATATAAATTAATATATGTGCATATCTTACTTGCATTTCCTCAATGTTTTCTCCATGTTTTATTTTGAAGAACTCATACTCTTGAGTCAATATACTCATCATATTGTCTTTCACTCTTATGCCTTCATGTGCTATTTCAAGTGCATCCCACATTTCTTTAGCTATCTCAAGATTGCTAACACAGAAATATTCTTATTAACTCAAGGCATTTGCTATAATTAGTTTTGCCTTGGAATTTTGAAGCACCAGCTTCTTTTCCTTTTCTGTAAATTCACTTCTTACTTTTCTCACATGTTGTCCTTCCTACTGTTTTCATTGGAACATAAGGACCATTCTCAACAATCTCCTATAAATCAAGATCTGATGCTTCAAAGAACAATCTCATTTTGTTCTTTTAGAATGTGTAGTTTTCACCATTCAATCTTGGAGGCCTATTGACCTTTATGGAGTACACTATCACTAAAATCAACCATCGGATCCTCTTATACTATTAAGTCCTTGATCAAGAGTCCAAGTTTTGATATCAAATATTAGATAGGCTAGCACCTAAAAGGGAGGTGAATTGGATAATAGTAATATTTTTTCAAAAACTTAAAGAGTGAGAAAGACTTGAGCAAGGAGAGAAGAGATAATACATAAGAAATTTATCCTAGTTTAGCCCAAAACTTAGCCTACATCCAGTCCTTAAGATAACTCTTGAGATTTTCAATTAAACTTACAAACTTCAATGGGTACTTGCTATCACAATACAAATTTCAAGACTTAACTTGTCTTGATTTAATAACAAACCTTGCTACAACCAGCAAGTTTTTACAAATTACTTGAAAAACACGTTTTCAAAATTTTAGCTGAAGGATAAAACTTTACAAAAAAAAACTCTCTTGAAGAGTAGATAGATTACAAATAAAAGATTAAAAACTTGTGAGAGCTTTTTCACATCAAGAATGATAAAATGAAAGCTAAAATTAATGCACAATTGAAAGCTTTTTATAATGCTTAAAAGATGAATAGTTCACTCTGAAATCTAAAATTGTTCTAGACTTGAATTGTATCACATATATAGTTTTGGCAGTTGAAAGACCGTTAGAACAGCGTTTCTAGCCATTGATGACATTTCTTGCGTCCAACCAGATGTTTCATGCATGAAATAGAGCTAGCCAAGTTTTAGTCAAGCATATGTGACACTTCAAGTGTGAACATCAGGGTGTCTCGCGTGTTTTGGAGGATAAAAATATGCAAACTATTCTGTGTGACAAAATAAGCATGGACCCTTGGGTTCTCACGTGTGAATTGGCTGGCCAAATGCCAAGCTCAATTATGTGAGATAAATCACATGTGGAACCAACTCTGTATCACACGTGAAATGGCTAATTCCAAAAACCAGACCATTTGGGAAGACAAATCATGCGTGGAGCACTACACTCACGCGTGAAATGGCTGGTTATAAAACTAATCCATTCTGGAAGACAAATCATGCATGGAACCAATGTGCATTCAACCAAGAATTGCATGACTAAAAGCATATAGAATAATGGATGACAAATCACGCAAGTTTACAAGTTGAAACAAGCTTGAAATGGCTGAAGACTCAATTGGGAAAAATGTGTTCAATAGACATAGTGACAAATTACGTGTGGGTATATTCTCATTCAAGCGTGAAATGGCAGTTCATAGAATACAAGGAAACACAAGATGACAATTCAAGCATGTGTACCCAAAGGTAACTTACGTGAAATGGAGCACAAAAGCTTTGTCAAGGCATCATACAAACACAAGTGACAAATCACATGTGGATTACTCTTGATTCAGGCATGAAACATCAATTGGTGAGCCTAACATGATAAATCACATATGTGACCATACCAAAACACGTGTGAATTATTAGATAGTGAAAAGCTCAACTTCTATGATCCATTATGAGCTAAAATGGCATAACTCACAAGCTTGAATATACTAAGATGAATCCCAAGATGTGTAAATGAGACATATGAGTTAAGAGATATGCATTCATTTCAAGGATAATAATGTGTGATTAAGCTCTCAAAATTTTTACATTGAATCTAAGAGAATTAAATAACTTATCCTATAAATCTTCATCTTTTCTTGATTCTTCATACTCTTGAGGTTTTATTTTCATCCATGATTTTGTATATATTTACACACATAATAAACACCTCTTCTCATGGTTTTGTAATTATCAAAATACATGATCTAACATTCTCCTTTTTTTATGGTGACAAAACCTTAAGATCAAGGTTTTTAGTTCTATTCAATACAATGCTCCCCCTTAAACTGATATGGGAGTTTAAAGATCATATGTGCAGAATAATAAATTCAAAATTTAAAGATTGAAAAGACATGAATTAAAAAAACAAAAAAAATTCATTGATAAATGACAAAATACAAGTGTCAGAACAATTTATCAATAAATATATATATTCTTCCTATGTCTTACTATAACTCTCCCTTAAGCCTAGCCTATCTCTAGTATCTTCTCCCCCTTTGGCATCATCAAAAAGTTACAAGCCTTCTAGGAGATAATGAACTCTATGTCTGATTTGGGCTTCCAAGACTTCTCCATCAAACAGAGAATTTAGGTTGAAGGGTAGAGTAGCGAGAACCATAGCTCAGGTAGAAGAATCGTTGGGATCCATAGGAGGAATGAGATATAATGCAACTTCTAAGCTATCAGTAGCTCAAATATCATCAGGTGGAAGCTTTGAAACTTGTTCTTCAATCTGACCTTCAATAGTCAAATGTTCTTGGGTCTGCTAAGTTAGGCCTTTAGTTCCTTAGTTCTCAGGTTCTTCAAATATTATTTCCTCAACCATAAAGTATTTTGGGTGAAGTGAAGGCTTAGTTTTTTTTTTGTGTTTAGGGATGGATTTCTTCCTTTGAAAGGTTCTGGTCATAGATTGAGTAAAGAAAAGAGTAGGTGAAGTCATAGCCAAAGGGATGGAAGAGGGAATGGCTAGCTCTCTAACATTCTTGGTGAGTTTACCAACAAGTTTGGTAACACTCATAC